TTTTTTTCTCAAACTAACTAACTAAATAAGTTCAAACTGTTGGAAGTATCTACAGTTTGCGGAGTGAACATGGAGCAAAAAAAAAATTTTAGAGTGACTTATATATTTATACAGATGGGATTACTATAAATGATCAAATACAGTTTGCAAAGAGAGCTGCTTTTTGCCCGTTATAATATTACAGCGAACTGTCGATTTCTAAATAAGACACTAATCAAAATACTAACTGCCACTAAATACACCAGGCATCGGCAAGAAATTTAGATATTCAAATAAAATTTTGATGATTCTGAGTGAACAAAATGCTGCTGACTTCATTAAGTGAACAAAGCTGCCAAATCATCGAAGATTTTTGATCCAAATCTAAAAAACTTTAGTTTTTTATTCCCCTTTTTTATCAAAATAAACAATTTACTGAACGCTAAAAGTTCGCTTGTCCTTTTGAATAGATGTTGTTGAATTTTAATACTTTAATTGAACAAGCAATCTAATTATCAAGGAATAATTAAACTTCAATGAAGGAGCAACTAATCTTTAAAGATGATCTTTGAAAAAGAAAAAAACCAAACGCAATTCCTCTACAAAATGTAATAGAATACGGATTGCAATATGGAAAGCTTGAATCTGCAGAAAACAATTTCCAACCATCAATTCCGGGCTTTTTAACTGTGCCTCAACAAATTCTGATTGGAACCAAATTGTTATTGCCATTAGAAGCAGAAAATTCCGTTTGTTGTAACAGCAGCCTATTATAGAATAGTTCATAGTCGATGCAAAAATTATTCAATATTAAAGGGTTATACAACTATAAAGTTAGAAACATAACTAATGTGAATGACTACCGTTAAAAAAGTCAACCAAGTCCGATCAAAAAGACATGCAGTCCTTCCATACTGCACAATTTGGAGCAGAAAGATACGGCAACAAATCTTCAAACGTTTTCGCACCTCAGCTTTTCCTTCATCACAAAAACCTAAAATTTCTAACCTCTGTTGATTCTGGGCAGCTATTGTGCCAGAGAATTTTAAGTCTACATCCCATGCACATCAACAGACCTGTCAGCACCCTCTTATCAGCCTAAAAATCAGCATCAAAATCTCGGTCACGTCAACTATTACTAATATTTACAAGCGCAAGGCTTGAATAGCTGTTTGCATGAGAATACAATACCCAATGTGCAGAAAATAATGTAATTTAGAGAGTTAGCAGTAATAGCTGATGACGAAAAAAGTCAAACTGGTTCAGTGACGAAGACGAACCATCTAAACCCAAAAGAATATTTTAACAATACCTTCTGTACTGTCAAAAAACAAATGCATATTTGTTGCAAACAGGATTGAAAAAGAACCTCTAAAATTTATCCCACTGAATTATTGACAGATAGTCAGTTCGAGAAACAAACGGTAAATTTAAGAACTTTGGAGCAAATATTACTCAATAAATTTCAATTATTTTTTATGTCATAAAAAAGTATAAAACGTTGCTAAACTAAATAAAGAAAACCAACAGAATATCATTATCGAGCGTACTAAAAAATAAACTTGAGCTATAACTGTTGAAAAGCATCAATACTATAAAGAATTACTCATTAACGTTCAGAGGTCATTACATCTACTAATCTATCATCAATGTTAAAGACAAATTCCAACACAGCAAACGTAGTCTTGATTTTCAATTTGTTTCAATGAAGCATAAATTTGCTAAGCGTAAAGTAGTAAAGTAACATTATCATTTTGTTCCAATAAGAAAGTTTTGAGGTTTCTAACCAGCCAAGAAAAAATGCGCTAAAATTCTTTTGAAGCCTTTAATTTACGATTCCCTTAACCACAAAACAAATACAATTTGTGCCTATTTAAAACGGCTGAAGTATGGGGAAATAAATTAGATTTACTGAAAAAAAAACACTATAAGAAACTTTTTTCCCCAAAAAAAAACAGTAAACATGGATCAAGTTTGTTCACCCTCAACGGTCCACAGGTACCTTAGTAACTAACTTTACTGGATAGCTGATACCTAAAGTTGCACGACGATGAATCACTAGTAATTTCTTATAGCGTATCACTGAAACTGCAAAAATTGAGAAATCTCACATATGCCACTTAGTTCACACCAACACGTAGTCTGCGGGGTGACTCCCGACAAAATTTTGCTTTTTTAAAAAAACTTTAAAATATTATTTTTCTTCACTAATTTTTCTGATATAAATACTCTATTTGGCTTTCCTTCCCTACATTAACATTCGTTTATATCACCCCGGTAGTACCAGTGTGCAGCATCTTTTAAAACGATTGAAAACTAGAGCTTTAATTTATTGCTGATCACATCAACTACCCCATGTAGCAGTGTCTTGGTTAAATCGAGGTTTATTATCATACAGGGTGCTCCTGCAACATCCTGTGGTTTTTCTGCCAGTTAATTTTTCAGTTTTCCGCTATTAAAGCCTTACTCTTACTTTGGCTAAATTAGAAAACAACACCAAAGACATGGAATTAAAAATATTGGTTAAACAAACAAAATCAAAATCAAATTGTAATAAGTATAGTTACAAAAGACATTTATTAAGAATTTGTATTGAGCATAATAAAAACTGCTGCTACCTTCTTCTCTTTTATCCAAGAATATACAACTTACTTATTTTGGAAATGTAAGTTGGTAACTATAACGTCAGCAAAAAAAAAACATCATACAAACCCGAATGTATACTAGTTAAGCCGCATTTTAAATGTTTAATAAGCGTTTCAAAAAAGCGATACATAGGTGATAAGAAGTTCTACAAAAATTTTTTTGCTTACGACAGGCATTAATAGCAATTAAAATTTTGCATTCCTTTAGCTTTTTTTCCATTAACTGAAGATACAAAAAGATAAGATATACGGTTCCTCCACTGTCACAAATGAAATACAGCTACTAGCTCCATGCATTGATCTATGCCCAGCATCAAAAACAAACCAACCAAAACTGCATATGTTATTCAACAGTGCGATTTTTTGGTATGCACTATTTAGGTTAATTCAATACATTTGCAAAACTAAATCTATCGCAACTAAAAATGTATTAAAGCAATTTTCAAAAAGTCGTAAAGAAAAACGGAAAAGTTACTGATTAAGTATTCAATTTAAGCTCGCCATATCACCGCTGATATCATTAAACTTCAATTACTTTTGTACTGGTCTGATTGTAGCCAGTCAAGTAAAAAAGGTGTAAGATGTCCTGAACAAATAAACAGAACACCGGTACTGAGAACTGTACTAAAGTAAATGCTTATCTAGTAGTACAAAGGAAATAACTACTAAGACCAGAAATACCCAATGACTCATGCTATATTAATGAATGATTGGCAGTATTTCGCCTTTGCTAACATTTTTTTTTGAAACAAGAACAAATGACAGTATATTTTAGCTGTGTTACAATTTAACAGTATGAACAAATAAAAGAGATGCAATTTGAAGGAATAAACCAATAATATACTGGTGGTTTACAGGATTGGAAATAATTAGAGACAAAAACCCCAGAAAGTTAAAAGACGCGACATGGAGATAGTAACTTAACAAGAAACGATGAATTTTTGTTTGCAAAAAGTGCTGAATCAAAAAAGACATTAAGGCGCACCACTCTAAATAATTATATCAAAAAATTTCTGTATACTGTCGTCAGTTTCTTCGTTCGGTTTTTTGCATTTTCAAAGATCCCACTTTTGCCTACATTTTTTTCTGCAAAATTCGGGAACTAAGCATAACAGAACTTTCCGTAAGGCACTCCTCATTAATTTAAGCTTTCGTACTCCAAAGTCTTCAACAGTGTTTCTTTTGAACAATCTTTGAACTGTTTTATGAATTAAAGTTTTTTTGTTTCAAATGATACCAACAGGAAATTTTTTTATACAAAAAATCCTCTTTTTTCTTTTCGGCTTTTTGCTGATTTTTTGACATACTTGTGAGCCGTTTAAATAACCAAAAACCAATTAAATTGCAAAAAATACCCCCCCCACCCTCCAATTTTCTGTTCCTCTCCGTTCTCCTTGTGGGGTAAACAAGACTTCCAACAACCATCGCGGCGGATACAACGTCAAAAACTATATAAATTTTTACAGTGACCTCGTCAATAAACCATCTTTCTTTTTTTGGAGCATATAGCACAACGAAATTGTCTTAGAATTTGTTTTCCAGCGTGAACTAATTTGACAGTCAACTAAAGGCGCTAAAATGCTCAAAATAAGCTTTCTGCGGCGAACCCGAGTATATGGAACTTATTCAGTGCTGGATAAAATCATACCTTTCAATAGAAAAAGTATTCAAGGAAATCCTTATGCAGTTAATTAACATCCAAATCCATTAACTCACCTCAAGTAAATATAACTCAACCATCAGTTAAAAGTATTTGCATAACAAAAGGAGAGGCAATCAATTTCTTTTCCTTTCAGTTCACCAGACTCTTCGGTTCTGTAATAGAGCAGTTCTGTAA